AAATAAGACTCTCTCTCAAATAGATGATACAATAAAAATTATAATAAGATAACACACTCTATCAAACAAAAAGAATATCAGATAGAGAGACACTAATATCACAATACGACAAATGTCGGACAAAAAATACAAAAACATTATAGTAATATAATAAAATCTAAGATTATAACAAAACAATATTATATGTTAAACAAAGAAAATATTGTAAGATCTTTTAAGAGTATGAGCTTAAAAGTTTACTTTTGAATAAAATGAACATAATCTAAAAGCTATTTTAAGTAGCTCTTATGTGCTTTTAGATGTGAAGAACTTTAATATTTTAATATTATGTAATTTTACACATCGAAAAGTTTATAATTACTTTTGTCAAACACCTCTACAAAAAAATTTAGACAAAATTGTAAAAATGGTCGCTGTGGTATGCATTTTTTTGGGGTTTTAGTCCAAACCCCGACTTTTTTGACTTCGTGGTCCATTTGAGCTAGTTTTATTGTGTTTTTGGTCCCTCTGAATAGTGAAATGACTGTAATACCCTTGGGTTATTTATTTTTCATTTCTTTCATTTTTTAAAATCTAAATACTTATTTATTTATTTAACTAATTAAAAAAGGTCTCTCTCTCTCTCTCGTATGTGTGTGTGTTTATCTCCGACGAGGCCAAGATAGCCCCAGGTATCTCCTCCCTCTTTCTATTCTTCTTCTCGTCACAAAACCCTCCTTCACAGACATCGCCAGCCCTCCTCAGCCCCTCTTCTGTCAATGACAACCTCCTCAACACCCCCGATCGTTGCTGCTCTATCTTAGATCGGAAACAACCCCGGTGAAGGAGTTTCAGACAAGAAAGAGCTCGTCGGAACCACCGACCGGATAAACTCCAACCGCTTCAACCACCCTCTCGACCCTCCTACTTCATCATGATAGCCCTATGTATCTCCTCCCTATTTCTATTCTTTTTCTCGTCGCAAAACCCTAGCCTCCGGCACCGGTAACCAGCAGTGGCTCTACAAACCCTAGTAGAGACGGTGACTTGTGGTTTCTGGCACCACCGTCGACAAACACTAACATTTCAGGTCTGGTTTCAGACACCACCTCAGATCTGTGAGAGATAGAAAGAGAAGAAGAAGAAAAATGGCGTTTCAGATCAATGTGAGTGAGTGAGAGAGAGAGAGAGAGAGAGAATCAATTTTTGGGTTTTGTGTGTGTGTGTGTGTGGTGGACAGTGGTCGAAAACATAAGAAGACAGGAGGGTAATTGGTGGGCAGTTCTTCTTCCCCATTGAACAAATCCGACAGGGACTATTTGTGATATGGGATTGCTTCAGCTGGCAACGGTGGTGATCAGGAGGAGGTTGGATCGTCTTGCCATCAAAATAAAGGGGATAAAGGGGGTGGAATCGAGGGAGGCAGCAACTATGGTTGATGTTGCGTTTTTCCGGTGACCAAGAGAGAGAGAGAGAGAGAGAGAGAGAAAGAGAGAGATATGTGGACCCAATTAATTAATTATTTTCTTTTTCTTTTAAATTAAAATGAAGAAACATAAAAAAAATATCAGAAGGGCATTTTAGTCTTTTTAGTTTTCCGATGGACCAAAAACGCAATGAAACTAGTATAAAAGGACCACGAAACCAAAAAAGTCGTGGTTTGGACTAAAACCCCAAAAAAATGCATACCACAGAGACCATTTTCGCAGTTTTGTCAAAAATTTACAACTTCTACTCTCAACTATCTACTAACAACTTCCAACTTCAAACATATCCCCTACTTGGAAGAATTTTATATATGTCATATTTGCCCAACTTAATTTCTTAATATCATATATACCCTTTATAAACCTTCAAAATATAATATTTAGCTAAAAAAATTACAATGTTTTTAATAGTTTATAATAATTTTTTATATCTTAGAATTATTATAATAATTAAAAAATTTTAACCATATTATCTCTACGTCTAAAATAATCGAACGTCTATTTTTAAATTGTTGGAATGTCACTTTCTTGAAAAACAAAACGCTTCATTTTCATCCCTGTCCATGGAATGTATGTATTGATTGTTTAGTTTTTATTGTTAAATATTGTCTTCTTGTAGATAGATGATATTTTAGATATTACCATTGATATTTTGATGTTTAAGAAGGTTATATGTGATATTTTGATATTTAAGGACATATATATATATATATATATATATATATATATATATA